TTTTTTTTTTTAGTCTATTCCGTGACTTTAAGCCTTTTCACATGTTCCGCTTCAATATTATTTTTTCTCAGCAATAAACTTTGAAAAGTGGCTTGGAGGTGGAATATACTTGTTCATACTCTTGCTTATGGTTGTATCTGCATAATTTGTTGCTCAAGGAAATTTTTTTCCTCTGTAGAAGTGCTTTCTCCCCACATCACAGTGGTATTTTCCATGCTTCTCTGTCCTGAGACGAGTTATGTGCCCAGCAGTGCCAGTGGGGTTAAAGTCTTGTAGAACCTTACCAATCCCTGTCCGGTTTAATGGAAGATGTAGACTTGGATAATTCTCTCTGAAGCTCTTGCTCAAAGGCACCAGTGTGTGTCCTACGGTACTGCAACATACTGCATACCAACTTGACGAGGAGGTCAAGCTCAGACAGAAAGTTGCTCCCACCCTATTTTAGCCCAGTGACTGTTTATTTTTGACCTTTTAATCTATCCATTATCATAATAGAAAAAATAATTATAAATGTGTTGCTTTGGTGTATTTTGTACCTCTGGGATCATAATTAGAAGAAGACCTTAAATAATTGCAATTACCGTGAAAGATCTGGCACATAAGCTGAGAATGATCCAATATGTTGTAGCTGAATTCATAAAAATTCCAAGATTAATAAAGGGAGAGAAATGGTCCCCTCTATTCTCCTTCCATTAAGATAGGAATGATTTTGCCTGCAGGAGTATAGGTTTATAGTTGCTGAAAAGGAAACATCATCAGAAGGAAAAACCATACATATCTTCAGAGGACTGGATGTCCATTTAATCCAAACTTTAAAAGCCTCACTTAGACTACACATCTTTTCGTGTTGAAATGTGAATTGTGCAACATATACTCATTATTATTTGAAATAATGCAAAAAACAACACATGTAAATATTTACTGTAAATTTACACAAACCACAACCAATACTACATTCAAAAAGGCTACCAAACTCATAAAATTAGGATGCACAGTAGAAAATTGGGACTAGAGCTCTAGAAACAAAGTCTTTAATAATAAAAAATTGGTCAGATTCTGTCCTACATACCTAATTAATTACTTTGAGACTAATTTCTTATGAAGTCCTTAAAAACTAGAGCACAGGAAAGAATATGCATATATCACCAGCTAGTTTATTACAGTTTCTCTTCTATTTCAATTAATTGTTTCTATTTATTGTTAAAAATTAATATTGCATTACCTTCTATTTTAGTGCAGTTGTTGGAGTTTATATTTATATGTTAAAATCCCAACATTTTAATTCATAATATGTAGGCATTTTTAGCAGAGAAATATTCTGATCCTTGAAAGATTTATACATGTTGTGAAGTTGATGCACATTGACTAATCCTGCTGAAGTCAAGTGGACTACTCAGAGCGTATAAAGTAAAGTCCATGAATAAATCACTGCAGAACTGGACTCAAACTGATTTTCTTTGCCAAACCCAAGGTTTAGTCTTCATATCTGAATTGCAGCCTCTCATAAGTAGTGCAGATTTATACTAGATGAAAAAAATAGAGAATAATGAGTGTTATTTAAGGTTCAGAATTAAATCATATCTTTTGTTGAACAGGCTAGTCAGATCAGATCCTCAGTTTTTGCTTAGTGTACACATTGTAATGTGTGGAAATCCCATGTGGTTCCTCTGATTTCTTTATTATTATTCATCTCTAGAGCCAATCCTATCTCAACTAACCCACACAGAGTTTGAAGAGACTGAACACCCCATGAAAGGAACTTTTTGGGAATCAAGGTTTTAATGATGGTGTCCTTTTCGCATTTTATTGAGGGAAAATGTCTTGCCCTGAAAAAGGATTTCGAGAGTTGACCTCCACAGAGATGGAAGGGTCGCTTACAACCAAAATCTCTACTTTTACTTCTCTGCTGGCAGGTTTCAGGATAGTCACAGGTTCAAGGAGATTCACAATAATACATCACCTATTTGAGAAGCAAATTCAGTCTGAATATTGTCACCTGTGAAAAAAATGAAAAAAATTTGCATAAACAATTCCTTTTTCCCTCTTCCTTCCTTTTTTCTACACTTGTACTGCCCTTGTGACCAAATTGACTGAATACTTCAGAGTGATTATGATGGAAAGAGACTTTTTACAAGGGCATATGGAGACAGGACAAGAGGGAATGACTTTAAATCAGAAGAGAGTAGGTTTAGATTAGATATAAGAAGAAAATTCTTTACTGTGAGGTTGGTAAGGCACTGGAACAGGTTGCCTAGAGAGGTTGTGGATGCCCCATCCCTGGAAATGTTCAAGGATGAAGCTCTCAGCAACCTGGTCTAGTGGAAATTGTCCCTGTCCATGGTAGGGGGGTTGAAACTAGATGATCTTTAAGGTCCTTTCCAACCCAGGGTATTCTATGATTCTATGATTCCCTGAT